AGCCTGCCTCTGCCCCCCAGTTCCGGGAGATGACGGACTCCTCTCATGTCCACGTGGCTGACATGGTCATGTTCGGCTACAGGTAGGCACGGCCGCGGGTGGGCCCTGTGGGTGGGCACGGGGCTCAGGGGCCTCGCCTCGCCTCACCGCCCTCTGCCACCAGGAAGCAGTTCAAGGCCCCGACGCTGGCGGAAGGCTTCGCCGAGCTCCTGGAGATCCCCTTCCGGCTGCACGTGGAGCCGCAGCGGGAGCGCCTGTACCGCCAGTTCTCCGAGGGCTGAGCCGCTGCCGGCCCTGCCCCCCAATAAATGCTAGTTTTCTTTCAGCCTAGCCAGCACGTTGCTGGGAAGAAGGGGGGCCACCCAGCCGAGGGGGGCCCTGCTGTGGGCCTCACCCCAATGGGGCACTAGGCCCACCTGAGGACGCACTGCCTCTCCTGGCCGCCGGCGCTGAGGACAGTGGCCCGTGGGCTTTTAAAAGACTTTATTGGGGAAACGTACATGGATGGCACTGTCCTCGGAGACGTCTCAGGGCGCTGTCCGCCGTCTTGGGGGGCAGCTGCGGTCTCCAAGGGCCCTGCTCAGAAGCATCCGACCTGGAACGGGGCGGAGGGAGGGCCTGGGTGGGGGCTCCCAGCAGCCCCTGGGCCCCTACTGGGCCACCCGGACCCATGAGCTGCAGGGCCCTGGGGACCAGGGACGGCCTCCCCCTGCCCAGCAGAGCCCTTTCCTCCCTCCTGCAGGGGCTGCTGCCACCTGCCGCGCATCTGGTCTTGTCAAAGCCAGGGTCACACTTCTTCCCAAACCCCAGCAGCCAGGTCCCGGCCACCCTCCCCGTGGCTGCCACTCACCAGTGTCACCGGGGGCCTCGTCTGTGACTCCTAGAGGGGCCCAGGCCGGGGGTGGCCACTACCCCCCCATCTGTGGGGGAAGAAGCCAGGCGTCAGTAGCGGGCCGGGCCGGAGGAGAAAGGCTCTGGGAGCCCTGCTCCCGCCTCACCCCTCGCTGCTGCTGCTCCTGCTCCAGGTTCCGCTGCAGGACCTGCTGCTGGTTGGCAATGACGCGCCGGATGCCGTTGACGAAGTTGCTCTGGTCGTGGGGGATGAGGCCGATGAAGATCTTCTTCTCCGAGGAGTACAGGAGCATGAGCACGCGCACCTCGCACGAGGCCTTGTAGGGAAAGTGCACGCAGCCGGCCTGGGGGTGCAGGGCAGTGTCACAGGCGGCCCTGGTCACAGGTGTCCCCCCACCATGGTGATGGGCTCAAACCACACAGGCTGGCGTCCCTCAGAGCACATGAGCCGAGTGCGTCCTAACTGCTCTGTCCTCGCGGCCCTGTTCCTACTCCCACGTGGGGACACGGAGACGGAAGCCTAGAGCCGACTGTCCCAGGCCCAGCTGACCGCACAGAGAGCTCAGGATGCCGGCACCTGCTGTGGGGGCGCCGCAGGGGCAAGTACACAGAACGCCCCAAAACGGGGTGCAGCGTTCAGGGTCAGCCATGCAGGGACCTCACTGGGAAGGACGCCCGACACCAAGGCTCCCTCACCCCATGCAACGCCCGGAAGCAGCCGAGCTCGGAGAGGCTGGGAGGGAGGGAAGCTGCCCGCCCAGACCAGTCAGGGACGAGGCTTCATGTAATAAGGATCCTGGTGCAAAAGGCACGGGGGGCCACGTGCTCCCCGCCCAGTTCCCTGGCTCTTCCCTGCTCAAGGCCAGGGGTCGTCACAAGTCAGCCAGCCGAGGCTGAGAGCTCGAGGACTCGCAGGTCCCCGGAGCCTGGAGGGGAGGCCTGGCTCTGTCACCGCCTCTGGGACAGGAGGAGGCCCGTGACGAGCCGAGCCCAGTGCACGCCCCTCTCGCTGCTCCTGAGCCAACAGCGATGACATGGACGCGCCAGTGAGCGGGCGGAAGGCCAACCTGGGGCACACGGGCCCTGAGCTCTGTGCTCTCCACTCATCACAAAAGAAACGCACAGCAGCCCCCAATACCCAGCCACACGCCTGTGGCAACGCCAGCGACTCGAAGGAAACAGTTCCCCATGTGACAGACATGGGGACAGTGGACAGCCACAGCGAGGGTGCCGGCGGGCCGCGGGGAGACTGGTGCCGCCCGACTGGAAGGAGACGCCGCCCTGCCTGGCCAGGGGCCTTCCGGAGCCTGAGGTTTTACCATGGGAACCTGGAGGAAGCGTGCCCGCCCCTGGGAGAGCAGGAGGAAGGGGCAGTGAGGCCCTGGGAGCACAGGTGCTCTGTGAGGTCACCCCAGCGCCAAGTAAACGCAGACGCAGCAGAAGGGACAGGCCAGCGCGGGCCTGCAGGGCCCCTGCCCGGCACCTGGGGAACCAGGTTCCCCATCCGTAAAATGGGTCAGGACAGCACAGCCTCGGGAGTCGTGTGGACCAGGAGCCCGTGCGTGGCTCACAGCAAACGTGACATCGCTGGGGGCTGCTGCCTCCCCAGCGGCTCTGCAGACAGCCCCTCGCTTCATCTGTCATCACTGAAACACCCTGTGCATCTGACTATCTATCCTGCAGGCCACTCCCCGCCCAGCAATGGCGCTGCCCACTCACAACCCCACTCACAAAGCCGTTGTCCATGATCCGGCACAGGCTCTTCAGCGTCTCCAGGTCCTTGGTGAAGTGGAACTGCACCAGGCGCGAGTTCCGGAACAGCGGCACCAGGGTGGTCTGCGGAGGGGGTGGGACCATCCACAGTTGCCCCGCTTCATCCCCACAGGCCTGTGACCCCCCCCAAAGCCAGGCCGGCCTCTCCGGCCCCCGAGCCGGTCAGGAGCCTCCCTCCACCCAGCAGGCCCTCCTCCCGCTCAGCTCCCACGCCACCCGACCCCAGGTCTGGACCCGAGCCGCCCTGCACTCACGAGCAGCTGCTGCGGGATGAGCTGCATGTACAGCTTCCTCGGCCACTGCTCCGTCCTCCTGCGGGCACCAGGGCACCAGGGTCAGGAGGCCGGGCCTCACCCGGATGCTTCCTCCACCCCCAGCCCCACACTCACAGGATCTCGCCCTGGTTCACGTAGACGTGCGACGGCAGCCACCTCTTGGACCGATTGTTGGGCTCAGGCCTGGGCTTTGGGGGACAGGAAGGGGGTGGCATCAGGAGTGGGAGGGGTCCTGAGTCAGTGGGGGTGCACGGGTCCCCAAGCGGCCGGGCCACCCCAGGGCTCACCTCCTGCCACTCCATGACTCCGCTCCACGCCAGGAACTTGTTGTTGACAATCTGCACTGGGCCCGCGACACCACCGGGTCCCACTGCCTACAGGAGACGGGGTGGGGTGTGGGGTGTGGGCTGGTGCCTCAGCCCCCCAACCTCCCCTCCCTGCCCCTGTCCCCTGGGCCCAGCCTGCCCACTGCCTCCCCCCACAGACCAGCCAGGGCTTCTCAGCCTCCAGTCTGTCCACAGCCCCAGACACTCCTAGAGCCGGGCCTGTTCCTCGCCTGCTCTCAGACCTCCCATGGCTCCCACGTGCCCAAGACAAGTGCCAACCCTCAGCCGGGGGCACAAAGCCCACAGGGTTTGCCTGTAAGAACCGGCAGCTAAAAATGTCCCACCACCGGGGACACGGGAGAAGGGGACACGGTGGTGAGACGCCTGGTCACCCTGCAGGGCCTCCCAGCCTCACACCACCCTCCATGACCAGTGTGCCTGGCCGCCCCCTCCTCCCTCCCCTCCACACCTCCTGGGAGCCACGGTCGTCCCTCCTGCCCTTCAGTCTCACTGGCATGAGACACCGGGCGCACCTGCTTGCGGGTGGTGATGACCTGCCGGATGGCGTTGACGAAGCCGCTCTGGTCGTAGGGGATGAGGCCCATGAAGATCTTCTTCTTGGACGAGTACAGGAGCATGAGCACGCGCACCTCACAGGGGGAGATGTGGGGGAAGAGCATGCAGCCCGCCTGGGGGGAGGTGGGCGGTCAGGGACCCCAGGGCACTGCTGAGGGGGCGAATGCCCTTCCCTGACCCCCACGCCTGCCCGCCATGGACAGAGGTCCTCTGAGCCGACCCCCAGGTCTCAGTGTGAGAGGCCTGCACCTCACCCCCACCCTGAATCAGGTCGGCCTGGGACCCATGTGTGGGTGTGGGTGTGGGTTAGGGCTCTGTCCCCCACACCCCGTCTCAAGCCCCGCCCCATGGAGCTGCCGAGGTCGCTGCCTGTGCCAGGGCAGCCGCCAGGAGGGCCAGCCACCTGCTTCCTCCCAGCTGAGACCTCAGGTAAGTTACCGCGTGTCTCCTCCACTGTGAAACCTGTGCCGGCAGTGCACCCAGTAAACGCCCATGGTGCTCGTGACCGAGATGCCAGTGCCCTCTCAGTGGACGTGGGGGAATGTGAACCTGACATGTCCCCGCTGGGGTGCCAGAAAAAGGGGGGAACACCTCCCACAACACCCCGCGCCGCCTGCCTGACGTCTCTGGTCCCCTGGCTCATGGGACCTGCCTCTGGCCTCCCCGACACCTACCAGGACGAGAGTGACTGACAGGCCTCAGGGTGACGCCCACCGTGCCTGCAGCCGGGGCCAGGCACAAAGCAGGCCCTTCAAAGGGGTCAGACAGGAGACCCACACGTCACCCCTGGCCTGTCCAGGCCCTGAGGGAAGGGGACCCACCTGGGCATCGGGGTCGGGGCACACACGGCACCCGCCCCCCCTCCCCCAGGGGGTGGCCCGTTCCACAGAGGAACAGGGACGCAGGGGACCCCAGAGCCGAGCCCTCGGGCTTCCTGGGCAGAGGACTTGCTCCCACATCAGGCCACACCCCCTGGGGAGGGTGCTGCTCACACCCAGGCCCGGGTCAAGTTCAACTCCTGACATCCGGCGTCCACATCCCAACACGTCTCAGCAGCTGGCGGTTACCGAGCACTCACTACGCTCGCCAATCACCCACGTGACAGACCCACGCCTCCCAGGGGCCCCGGGAAAGTCCTGCTACCCACTTGCCGGTGAGAAAGCCGAGCCCCAGCACAGACCAGTCCCTCCTGGTCACCCCTTTCCCAGGCCCCTGGCTCACACCCCGGGGAGCCCGAGGCGGCTGGGCGCCTTCACTCGGCTCCACAGATGGGCCGAGACCTCAAGCGAGAGCGACTCCCCAGCCCCCTGGGTTGTCCCAGCAGAGCCATCACCAAAGTGCCCGGGGGAGCCCCTGCCCGGCCCTCAGCTGCCCCCGCGCCGCCCACTCACGAAGCCGTTGCCCATGACGCGGCAGAGCCCCTTGAGGGAGTCGCAGTCTCGGTTGGTGAAGTGGAACTGTGCCAGCTGCGAGTTGCGGAACAGGGGGCCCAGGGTGGTCTGGGGGCGACAAGGGACAGCTGG